CATGACATTCCAGCCCCTGGTGGGGGTTCCCTGGCTCTGTGTGACAGGAACACTGAGCAAAATGTGGCCAAGGGATGTCCCTGGGCTGGTGGCACTGCCAGGCTCAGAGCTGTCCCCACCATGGCACTGTGGGATCAGCTGGAAATTGCCCGCGCTGTCCCTTGGTGGCTTCGGGGGGTTGTCACCCCATTGTTGACACCAGACTCTGTTTCCTCCTGTCCACAGCTGCCAATGTCACCGTGTCCCCATCCCCCCGTGTGCTGGAGGGTGACAATGCCACCCTCACCTGCCACCTGAGCAGCGGCTCCACAGCTGTCCCCAACATCACCTGGTACCACAACGGGCAGCAGATCTCCACGGGCTCGGCCACCTCGCTGGTGCTGCAGCCGGTGGTCAGCAGGGACACGGGGCTCTACCGGTGCCAGGCCAGCACCGCGGGCAGCAGCCGGAGCTCTCCCGACGTCCTCCTGGATGTGCTGTGTGCGTCCCTTTCCCTTTCCCTTTCCCTTTCCCTTTCCCTTTCCCTTTCCCTTTCCCTTTCCCTTTCCCTTCTGTTTCCCTTTTCACTTCCCATTCTCTTCCCCTTTTCTCCTTTTCCTTTCAATTTCACTTTTCCTTTTCCTTTCCCATTTCTGTTTTCTTTCCCTTCACCATCCTCTTCTGTTTCCCCTTTTCCCTTTCCCTCTCCCTTTCCCCTTTCCCTTTTCCCTTTCCCCTTTCCCCTTTCCTTTTTCCCTTTCCCCCTTTACCTCTTTACATCTTACCCTTTTCCCCTTTTTCCGCTTTTCCTCTTTCCCCTTTCCCTTTTCCCTTTCCCCCTTTATCTCTTTCCCTTTCCCCCTTTCCCCTTCCCCTTTCCCCTTCTCCTTCCTTTCCCCATTTCCCCTTTCCCCTTTCTCCTTTCCGCTTTCCCCTTTCCCCTTTCCCCTTTTCCCTTTCCCCTTTCCCCTTTTCCCCCTTTCCCCTTTCCCCTTTTCCCCCTTTCCCTTTTCCCCTTTTTTCCTTTCCCCTTTTTTCCTTTCCCCTTTTTTCCTTTCCCCTTTTTTCCTTTCCCCTTTTTTCCTTTCCCCTTCTTTCCTTTCCCCTTCTTTCCTTTCCCCTTCTTTCCTTTCCCCTTNGGGTGATGATGAACACCCAAAATTGGAGGGATAAGCAGCCCACAGAGTTTTGGGGACCCCTGTGGTGGCACTGGGGGACATCGGTGTCCTGGGGGCTCTGTGGTGTCCCCTCCTCAGCAGGTCAGAGCTGCTTCTGGAGCTGGAGGGGCTCCTGGGTTTTGTTTCCCAAAATGCCAAAAAACAGTAAATTTATCCAAATTTTTCTACCCCATCCATCCCCACCAGTCACTGTCCCCTGACCTCCAAGTCTGGATAGTTTGGGGTGACAGGTAGCAGAAGGAGAGAAAAATCCCTCAAACCCATGTCCAAGAGGAACATCCTTTAGGATCCACAAAAAACCCCAAAAGAGACCTCAAGGTCCAATTCCGGAGAAACCAAACCTGGATTTGGGTGTCCCAGTGGGGAGCTGGGAACCAGACAAGGCCCAGCTAGCGGGAAGAGTGGACAGGGTCTGTCCTGGGAAAAAGTCACCTGGATGAAGCTGGCACTTGGAAAAAGCGGGAAAGGGTCAGGAAAGGCCCCACTGGGCTATGCAGTGTCCCCAGGGAATGTCACCTCCCAAAGACCCACAGTGAGGTAGGGGACTCAGGGAAGCCCAACAGGGAATTGTAGCTGGATGGATCCACAGGAAGGATTTCCCTCCTTCCCTGAAATCCTTCTCCCACTTCAGCTGCAGGGCTCCTGATCCAGCCCTCGGCAGAGGTGACAGAGGGGACCGCGGTCACCCTGACCTGCGTGGGGACAGGGGACACGGAGGAGGAGCCGCTCTACACCTGGTACAGGAACGGCCGGAGGCTCCAGGAGAGCTCCTTCCCAACCTTGGAATTCCCATCCGTCCGCGGGGACGACGCTGGCGCCTTCCAGTGCCAGGTCCGGAGCAGGAACGGCAGCGACACGTCGGAGGCTGTCCCGCTCCGAGTGCTCTGTGAGTGTCCCGTGGGAATTCCAAAGGGTCCTGGGGCTGAGCTGGGGGTGGTCCCACCTTGAGGTTTCCCCCATCCCCACCAGCCACAGCCAAGGAGCTCTTGGGGCAGGAATGTGGGGAGGGTGAAAAATTCCCTTTGGTGGGTAAATCTGGGAGTTCTGGGGAGGAGGAATGTGGAGAATTCCCACCTTCCCAAGAATTTTAATGATTGTAGAACCACGAATGGTTTTGGCCCGGGGGACCTCAAAACTCATCTCATTCTGACCCCTCTGCCATGGGCACCTCCCACTAGACCAGGTCCAACCTGGATGTCCAAGAGTTTCTCAGGCAGCACTGGGAGCATCAATCCCTTGGATTCTGAGGGTTTTCCCAATGGATCCAGTGGTGTTTTGTCCCTGGATTGGGTTGGGAGGGACCTCAAAGCCCTTCTTAATCCAACACCTCTTCCCTTGGCAGGGACAGGTCCCGCTGTCCCAGATTATTCCACATCCCATCCAACCTGGATGATCAGGAGGTGCTGGAAGCATCAACCCCTTGGATTCTGGGAGTTTTCCCAACCTCACGGATCCATTTTCCCCCACAGACCCCCCGAGGCAGCCGGTGCTGAGCTCGTTCCTGCAGAGCCAGGGCGGGCGCCTGGGCATCATCCAGTGCTCCGTGGAGAGCGACCCCGAGTCCAACCTCACCCTCCGGAGAGGGGACGATGCCATCGCCTGCACCCAGGGCTGTCCCCAAGCCACCAGCCCCAGGGTCCACGTCACCAGGTCCTACAACAGCCTGAAGGTGGAAATCCGGGATGTGGTGGTGGAGGATGAGGGCATTTACTTGTGCCAGGCTGGGAATTCCCAAGGAAGCGCCAGCGCCACTGTGGATTTCAAGGCTGACAGTGAGTGGGGACAGGGGACATTGTGGCATGTGGGAATGTTCTAAGGGAGGGGAGCGTGGAAAGNCTTCCTTCCTTCCTTCCTTCCTTCCTTCCTTCCTTCCTTCCTTCCTTCCCCTTTTCCCTTCCTCTTTGTTTTCCCTCCTGATTCCAGTGGGATTTATCCCACAGGGATCCATCCCACCCATTCCAGAGTCCTCAGCCACCTCCTCTTGTCCCCAGGGTCCCCTGTGCCGCTGTGACCCCGTGTCCCCCGTGTCCCCCATGTCCCCTGGCAGTGCCACCATGCGCCTGCCCCGCTGCCTTGTGCTCCTCGCCAGCCTCGTCCCACCAGGTATGGGGACAGTGACACCCTTGGGATTGTCCCCTGTGGGACTGGAAGTTGGGATTGGCCCCAGTGGGTGAGAGTAGGAGCCAGGCAGGAATTTGGGGGATCCCGAGGCTGCTCCTGGGGGGATTAACCATCATCCCACACTGCTGACGGGCAGGGGTGGGGTGACAAAGGGACAGCCAGGTCGTGGGAGCAAGGACAAGGCGCCAGGGTGAGGAAATAAATTTGGAACCCCAGGACATCTCTTTCCCCTTTTTCTTCATTATTTAGGCCCAAAAGTTTCAGCTTTTCCTGGTTATCTCCCCCTCCTCCACCCAAAACCTCCTCTTGGAGGGGTTTATCCCAAATCCCACCTCCTCTCCCACCTTCCCCATCAAGCACAGGTGACGTGTCCCCAACATGTCCTGGGGGAAATGGGGACACTTCTGGCTCCCTGATCCCGATTTTCCCTGGCACAGCCCTCAGCTCCTGGGGGGTCTCCTACCCCGAGTCCCTGCGGGCCAGCGGGGGATCCTGCCTGGTTGTCCCCTGCACCTTCAGCTACCCCGCGGATGTGACAACCGGCGGTGGCATCGTGGCTATCTGGTACAAGGACTATGAGGGCCAGCGGACGGTTGTGTTCCACTCCGCCGCCCCCCAGGATGTGGATTCCCGTTTTGGGGGTCGTGCCCAGCTCCTGGGGGACCCCATGGCCCGGAATTGCACCCTGCTGCTGCGGGGGGTGACACCGGGGGACAGTGGCCTCTACAGGTTCCGCTTCGAGATCATCCACGGCGACCGCTGGTCGGCATCGCGGGATGTGACCCTGAGCATTTCAGGTGGGTAAAACACCGAAATTCCCCAAAAATTCCCTTCTTGCCCCATTCCCTGAGGTCATCCTGCCCTCTGCTCTCCATCCCAGATGATCTGGAGCTTCCCAGTGTCACCAGCAGCGAGGAGCAGACCGAGGGACAAAGGTCCACCTTGGAGTGCTCCACACCCTACTTCTGTCCCGGAGGTGACACCGCCCTGCACTGGGAGGGCTACGACCCCCAGGTGTCCCAGGTGTCCAGCCACGTCCAGCTGGACACCAGCGGGGTCAGCCACCAGGTGACCCTGACCAGCTCCTTCACCTGGAAGGACCATTCCAAGAAGCTGCTCTGCGTGGTGTCCGACGGATCCAAGAGGGCGAGCACGGAGGTGGTGCTGCGGGTCAGGCGTACGTGCGGTGGGGACAGGGGACACCTCTGTCACTGCCACCACAGCCACATCCCCCTCCTGCCGCCTCCTCCTTCCCTGCAGCATTTTCCTCCTGCCTCTCCCTCCCTTTCCTGCTCCTNGATGCTGGTCCCAGCAGGATGTTGGTCCCCTGGAAGGCTTTCATTCCCAGGAAAACCTTCATTGCCAGAAAGGTTCTCATTCCCAGGAGAATCCTGGTCCCCAGGAAGGTTCTCATTGTCAGAAAGATCCTGGTGCTCTGGAAGGTTCTCATTGTCAGAAAGATCCTGGTGCCCTGGAAGGTTCTCATTCCCAGAAGGATCCTAGTGCCCTGGAAATTTCTCGTTCCCAAGAAGGTTCTCATTCCCAGCAGGATCCTGGTTCCCAGGAAGATTCTCATCCCAGAAGGACGTTCGTCCCCAGGAATTTGCTCATTCCCAGAAGGATCCTGGTCCCCAGGAAGGTTCTCATTCCCAGGAGGATTCCCATTCCCAGGAGGAAGCCGATCCCCAGGCTATGGCACAGCCATCCCTGCCTCCCTCTCCAGGACACACCCAGGGATTTTTCCATCCCTTTGCAATTTTTTCCTGATTTCCCTTATATTCCATTAATTTCAGCTTCCCTTTTCCTGCTGGTCCCACCCTGGGCCTGGAAAGAGGAACTGGATGGGGCTGTGCACGGCCTGGGACTGGAGACCTCTAGAAGGTCCCGAGCTTCTGTGGAGCTGGCACAAAGTGGGCTGGCAACCCTGGCACGGGATGAGGCTCCTGGATGTCCTGGAAAAGGGTGCAGATATCCCAGGAAAGGGACTGGGATGGGCCTTTCCCCTTCTGGATCCTGCTGCCCACCACGGGAATACCAGCAGATCCAGGGATCCCATCCGGAGCTGGCAGCACCCAGAGCTCGAGGGAGGGCACTCCCAGCCCTGACGGTGC